CAATACAGCATAGTAAGGAAGGAAAAATTGTATCCGATGCCTGCAAGCTGAAGATAGAAATGGCATCTTTAGTTCAAGGCTGGTTTTCTTTCTAGAAGAACCAGAATAAACAAACAAAAGTCAGGAGCTGGAATTCTTGTACAGGGACTCATGCTTCCCAAGGATTCATTGTAACTGAGGTTAAAAGCTATTAACTCATGAACCTCCTGATCTTCCACCTAGGATATTTCGAAATGTTTGGCTAGATTTGTTTCCTTACAGTGTCACAAGTTTTTCTGGGTTTTGATAATAGATGGCATCAGAAATGTCCGTCCACCAAGACAAGGGCACTTTCCTAAGATACCCTGCCTATCTTCCGAATTAAAGATTTTTACTTCAAAAAAACCGAAAGTGCTTCCACGAACCAGCCCTAAATTCATAAGTTTGATCTTCCACAGAAGAGGAGTGGCTTTTATACTTCTGTCCTTTAAAAGCAGTTCGTTGATAGCTCTATGTACCTCCCAAGTAACCTTAGAAAAGCGCATGTCATATCTCAGAGGTGCTCCTTTTCTGGATTCCTTATTTGATCTGGTCTCATGACTTCACAGACAGCTTACACATCTATAGAGTTAAGATGATCGCTGTGATACCCTGAGGATATGTTTTTCATCACGACTATGAAAGCTCCTGGCAAACTGGCACTGGCTGCTCACTGCCATTCTGATTTTGATCTCCTGTCTTCATGTCTCAACACACAGGCCATTTGGGATTGCTCGGCTCTGCTGTCCAATGCCACATCAGCACTGTGAATTGACCAAACATCCACTCCAGCCAATGCCACGTTGTTCCCTTCTCACCTGTCCATTTATTTGGGAGCCAAGCCTCTCCAAAATTTCAGTCTAATATGCTACCCAGTACAGCTCTACTGCAACAGCTGTGGGTGTAACAGCAGGAGCTACAGCAGAAAGAGCCTTAAATGACACAGCAAAGTCCAGGCTACGTCCTGCAGTTTGCTCACCCACCTGGGATATGCCCACCTTGCAGACCGTACTTCTGAATCAACACCACTTACCCCCTGTGCTTCCTGGGTCTTCTCTCACGCAGACTGCCACGCACCTTCGCTTAGAAGTTTTCCCACTGTACAACGTGTCACCCCGAGAATGATTTATTGGAGAGTATATTGAATTCTAGTTTCAGGGACACTTTGGTGTTTCTTTTCTTTCACAGTCACTGTATCAAAACAACATTCGCTCCTGACAAGCAGCAGTGGGGTATGCTGCAGGGAGTCCTATTTTACTCATGTCATTTCAGAACTCTTCCAATTTTTAGTAAACTGCTGTTTGGCTGTTTTAATCAAGCCCATTCCCATCACTCTGATTGAAATAAGCTGCTGATGTTGTTAACCATATGACCACCTCGGAGGCATAACAAAACACATGACAACACTTATACATCGATAACATCTCCAAAAACACATTTTAGTTTATCATTGCAAGCAATGTTTTTTTTTTTCTTGTGGTTCTCAAGATTTTAGTATCTTTGTATGAGAAGTTCAGCACTATGACTTAAGGAACATCCTCAGCTGCTGTCCTGGCCATTGACCTCTGATGTCTCAAGCCCTTACATTCATTCTTGTAAAATGTGTATTTGAGGAATCCAATTGATTATACTTTCTATTTTGTAGCCACTGGGGACAAAGCTCCAGATTTGTCATACTGGAGAATTCAGTGTAAAAATTGACAGGCCCAAAAGTATAAAGCTCACGTCTCCTCTCGCCCATCAAAGGCTTCTGTGGTCTCACCACCTAAGTCCTACATTGAACCTTATCTTCAGCTCAGATGGACTAAAGGTGGCAGAGAACACCATAATCCAGCTAATATGGCAGATAGACCATCACATCATTAAGGCAGCTTCTTAGCAATGAAAAATGCTTTAAGCATGAAGACTCACAACCCCAATAAGTTGCAAAACATATTAAAAGGAGAACAGAGGAAACAGGGCTCCAGGAAGTCGTTTCATATATTACTTATAACCAGCATCAGATAGAACCCTTTACCAATTCCCCACAAGGATGTTGTAAGATTTAGAATACTTAGCACAAGACAAAAAGCAGAAGGTAGAAATCTGAGCAATGGCTGATATGTAAGAACCAAAAATAAGCCAGTATTTGACAACTGGTTGACATTGCATCTGAGTGAGGGTTTCAAAGAGCCTGCAGCCCATCTAATCCTCCTTCAGTTGAAAGTATACATCCCTCCGGCTTTGGGGAGCTGTTGAGAGTTTCACTTTTGCTCCTTGCAAGTATTCACAACTTCTTTGCTACCTAGAAGACCTGCAGCAATGCAATATGAATCAAAATGAAGCTTTTGGCACCCAAAAAGCCCCAGCAAATAGAGATCTCTGTCGGGCATCTACCTACAGCAATATTAGATGCCACAAACATGATCCACACTCTCAGTTGTACCACATACTGAGCTGAGCTCATGATATTAGCTTTTATCTCCTTGGACTGGTTCTACGCAATCTGAAGAAGTGTCTTACGCACTGGGATGAAAAGTCTTGGTTAGCTTGGTTACTCCAGCACAGTAGAGCTATCTGCAATCAGAGTAGGGCTCATTTTCCGAAACTGTGTAATGAACTCCCCTGGACAGTAAAAAACATTCCAGTTGCAAGCCACGCTTGAACTTCGTACATTAGTTAAGGTCTGAATCAGTTTCTACTGAAATCAGATAACATGACATTCTTCGTTTCTGTCCTACTTGATCCTTTTCATGCAATGTTTAATCTTCACTGTTCATTGGTTTTGATATGGCCACTACTCTCGTGAAGTCTGGCTGTCTTGCAATTCCAAAGCACTTAGTCTCTCAGTGTGCCTTTGCTTTGGAAGTCCTTCATTTTCATCTAATAAATCACTCCTACAGAATGAATTGTCAATGTCTTTACACCATGTATTAAGCTACATGATTAAAAGATAAAGAGTAGTTATAGAATATACATGGGTTGATACCACATATGTATGAATAAACATGTATCTATATACACATAGATATATAAATGATATAAGCTAATTAAAAGCCTATTAATATCTATTTTAATTAATATCTTTAAACACCAAACCTTTCACAAGGAGGTGATGATGTCTAATGATAACACAGTAAGAAAGGTGATCAAAGGTAAACAGTGAACAATTTATGACATAGGTCTGCAGTTATTCACCACACAGTCTCACCTCCACATTTATACAGTTCTTTTTTATTTTGCTGTATTCTCAGCTTTCAGACACTAGACAAATGCATAAATAATGTCCATAACATACTTATGTGCAATATATGTTGCAGCTAGACTTATCCCTAACTCAAAATCCTCATCTTTCAGCTCCACATTCATTAACATGACACAGGCTCTGAAATATGCATCTTTTATTGATATTACAACCTTTGAAATTTATACCTAACTTGTGCAGTTTGAGCCTGTTTGTATAAAAAACACTTGCATCATCCTGAACCTCGTTATCTTTGAAGGGGCTAAACAGACTGAGAATAGTACTGTCGTTCAGTGCTTCACAACTAGTATGTATTTTGCAGTCAAGGGCTTTGGTTCCCTGTCCTGCAATCAATGATGGTTCAATTGTCTCTGTCAAGGGTGCCTAGAGGGGGAAATCTATATTTATTAATTCCCTCATGTCTTCAAGAAGATATCTGTCTTTGTGCCACATTCAGTTCTTTTATATGCCAAGTGCCTAAACTGAAGACTTTGCATATACAGACCATAGATGCATACACAAAAAAGGCAACAAAAGTAGAGATAGACAGACAGACAGATAGATACACACACACACACATACATACATACATACATAGAATGAACCATTTTTCCCTTGCTCTGAGCGAAAAACTGCAGCTGAAGCTGGTTCTTTTTATAAAGAACCTTGACCAGTTAAACCAGCCGAGCGGCGGGTAGCACTCATACAGGATCACCTTACAGTGAAGAGCCATAACGGTAATTGCAGCATTGCTGTGGTTCAGTGAGACTGGATGATTTTTGGCAGGTCAGACTCTGTACTTCCGCTTGCCTTTGAAATGCTATCAGCTCCACAGCTGTAGTGGCGCATGGTTACCAAAATATACTGTGATGATCTTTTAAACAAAATATTTAATTTATCCGAAGAGAGTTTTATTTAAACGTAGGTATTAAATGTAAGCTTCTTTTAATCGTTTTAATTTAACCTACAGTCTTCCTAAGATTACCCCGCTACTTATTGAACTTGATACTACACATGACTCAGGATTTTTAACCACTGCAACTGAGGTTCCAGGAAGATACCCCACATATTCGCCCTATGCCTGTATCCGGATTTGTGCAGATGGCCTGCAATAGCCACGGAGCTCTTTAGGCACAACTGCAGCCAGTTTCCTGACTACTCACATGGCTTGTCATGACCCTTCAGATATATGTCAGTCAAAAGGATCCTACTACAAATTAATAAGCACAAAATGTGCAGTGGCACATCAGTGCTTCTTACATTTTCAAAATAGTGTAAATGAAGGAAATACTTTTCCCCGACTAGGCCCTGGAAAGATTTCAAATTAAACTATGTTTTCTTAGAATACATATTCTATTATAAAGAAAGCCTTGGGCCAGATTCTCCAGTGTGCTTTGCATGCATCAATACTGTCATGGACAGTACATGGACATTGCCCACCCAAGTCCCACTCTCCCACAGTGCCACATATTCACAGATAGCATTGGTGGGGGAATGGAAACAGGAGAGGCCAGGACACAGAAGTCACCCTCCTGTGTACTGCACGGATGCTTATGGCATATTCCAAAATGGCCCCAAGGCCTTGAAGGGGTAAAACAGCACAGCACTTGGGCATCCCTGGCATGTTCTGTGCCATGGGGAGCAGTACCGAGCAGCCAAAGCAAACTGCAAATCTCATTTTTCATACAGCCTGTGCTCACATTTGTGGTTCATACAAAGAGAGAGAGACCTCTGTAGTCATTCCCTCGGGTGTTGGTACCTGGTGCCTGTGTCACTGCCACTCTTCACTGCTCCGTCATCCGTGAAATTAAAGGTGCCGGTCCAATTTGCCAATTCCTCTCCATTCTGCCAGCTAAACTGCAGCCCTCTAGCAAGAAAACGAGGCAGTTGATATTTGATATCATTTATTAGGTTAAGTCTATCAGCATGAGTTCTCATGTCCTTTTTCTTAACACAGAAATGTGACTATGACACATTCATCAAAAACAATAAAAAGAAAGCAAGAACCACAAGACATCATCTTACTAGTGGAAACAATTAATTTTCACTTCCCACAGACTCTTCAAGTCCTTGGCTGAAAACAACACCAGACTCCCCAACCAAATTGGAAGGCCATAAACAACATACATATGTGTGGAGCAAGGTGGAAATTTCATTCCCAGAGACGCAAGTGCAAAAAGCTGGAGACTTATGTGGAAAACTGCAGGGCCGAAGAAGTAAACCCTCCAAACTTCAATTTTACATCTACAGTAGTTGTTAAATGTGGTGCGTATTGGGTCCTTCGTCTGATTTGTTGGCCATGCTAGCAAAGGATTTGTCATTTCATGACTTCTCTAAGTCACACTATATTGCTTCTTTTCCCTGTTTGGGAAGACGACATTTTTTAAGCCAATGCATATCACAATCATCACAACTCCCTGTTTTCCAAACTTTCACAAATTCATTCCAAGATCCATGATGCCTGCAGTCTTCTGGAAACTCCACCTATAGCTGGGTAGAAATCTCACATGTATTTAAAAAAGCTGGGTCTGAAGAAACATTTCACAACACAAGTCAGATCCTTCCCTTAGCTCAGAAGTCAACGAAAAAGAATCTCGCAGATTGTTATTTTTAATCTTCTCCATTTTAACCCAATTTCATGATTTCAGAACCTGGCAGCTGAGTTGTGAACATTTGGTGCTGCCAATACTGAAAGTTAACTTCCCGCCTGGGCTGTGCGGGGACAGCCAGGAAGCAATCTGCCAGCCTGCTTTGCCCGAACGAAAGGGCATCCAGGACCCCGCTAGTTTTCTTGGTCAACAGGCTTATGACAAGGACTGGAGAATCTCTCAGACCACATCCATCCCCTAGTCTAATTGGCAGCAGTAATAAGCATAGGAAATTAAGAAGGAACAACATGGGGCGTTAAAATAAGACCTCTTTGCTTCCTGCAGCAGAGAAGGGGAGTAGCTCTAAACAGCTCCAAAGACATATAGTAGGAGTTTATTTGTTCTGTATTGTGGAAATGTGTGCACGTAACTTCTTGTTGTCATAGTTGTTTTAAGACAACCTTGTCTAACTTACTTCAAGTATCTGCAGTGCAGATATTTCCACATGAACTAATTGTCTTCGTTCTTAAAAATCAATAGAGATTGGCTTCGTACAGCTAGTTTAGGGAACGATTCACCCGATCAAAGGCTGGCCTTCACCCTAGGGTGAACTGATCCATCCCCCAAACTCTTCCTCCATCAGCAGTACGGGGAGCCCGGAGTTGCTTGTAGTGTGGGCACGCATGACAGAAGGATCCCACCACCCGAGTGAAGTGCAGCGCATGTCACCACAAACGTTTTTTCTGACCTAAACTCAAGATATTTTGAAAGAATTTAAGAAGCCTATTCTTGTATGCCTTGTGCCTTTTAATCTTTCTGTTTGTTGGGGTTTTTTTAATTGAAAACAGACTTTTTGGTAAAGGCATTTTGAGGGAGAAGGAATTCTGAAGAAGGTAGGGAGCCATTTCAACACTCTGAACTGAGGAAAGAGTTAGCCTCCTAAAATGCCCCCTCCCCTCCCAAGCTGCCTCCCACCACAAAAGGTGGGAGAAAAGCACTATGAAAACATTGAAAAAGCTTCCTCTGAATCTCTCAAATGCATTTTCATTTCTTGCATGTTCTCCAGTGGACAAATTCTGCTTTTTCAAAGAAAAACTTTTTAAGTATAAAAATGGGAACATTTCAAATATAGAAGCCAAATTTTTGCTTATAGGAGACCCGTTCTGATTACTTCTTAATTAAATACATCGATGCGATTCTCCTGTTTTCCAAAAAATCAGAACAAGTGGAAGAGACCATCCTGATTGCCATAAGCAAAATGAGGTGGTATCGCACACTTACATGTTACATTCAGCTTGGAGAGAGCTACTTGGATGATCAGTTTGGAGAATCACACCAAAGGGTGTATGCTATCATGGCTATAGGGTAATGCAGTGCTATGGCTTGTCAGGGAATCCCATATCTTCTATGCTGCTCCGACAGTTTTCAATCAGCTGAGGCTGCCCAAGGTACGACTTCTGAGTAGAATATTGGTGTGAAGAAAATATGAGAAAATTCTCACTTCTACTAAGACACCTTCACTTTTAGGCTTGTTGAAATAAACACTTGTGATTCTCTCCCATGTACCACAGTCTAACACATTTTTTTTGCCACACTGTAACTGGTATGGAAACATGTTTCTTTTGAATGTGTATATCTTTGTAAACTGCATCTAAATATATGACCTTAAAAATATGTTTTAATTGCTAAGGGCGGCACTGAATGATACATGGGGAGAGAGAGTGGAAGTGTGCGAAAACCAAGTTGGAATTGTACTTTTTAATTGGATTTAAATTAGATATTTTGGGCTTAGATATTTACTTGCAAACTGAAATAGAGAGCATTAATCTAAATAAACAGCTGGTGTTGGTGTGTCCTTCAGAGGTAAAGTCTCCTAAAGCATAGCCAATATTCAGGCAGATGAAATGGAGAATTAAAACATTCAGTAAAGTCCTTTCCCTTTGTACATCTTCACTCCACATGTAACAGCTGGAAGGAAAGCTAAGTAAACACTCAAAGGCAGAGGGGGGGGAATCTGTCCATAAAGCAAAAGAAATGATAAAACCACTTCTTAATGCCTTCCTCTCATCAAGCCTTTTTTGGGGAACAGTGTGTCCTGCAGCTGAGGCACCAAGTTTAAAGGAGGACATGCACATTTTGGGTAAGATCCAAGAGGAGATCAGGAAGACTAACACTGAGGAATGGTAGATATGTCTTATGATGAACAGCTTAAAATACTTAGCTTTGAACTGGCAGAATGGGGCATCTAATTGAGGTACAAAAATATCTAACAAGGGCAGGCAAGGGTCTGGGTATGACACTTCTACATGGTAAGGATGAAGTACAAAGTTGTGAGCTGAGCTTAGGGTCAGGAGCAACCTAAGTGCCCGACCCTGAACCAGACAGGAAAAGGGGACCACGCAGCGCTCTTCTTCCAACAAACAGGTACTCAAGAGGTTAACAACACATAGATATACACAAAACACACCACTGAAGAAACATTACACAACTCGTAGGACTGTGTGTCGCACTGCGAGTCTGCAAGACTGAGACCAAGCTGCTGCACTGCATTTTCTGGAGTGATGGTACAATAAACCTCCTCCTCCTAGTAAGAACAACTCCCGTGAATAATGGTTTGTAGCATTAGGACTGAGTAGAAATCAAGGATGAGACATTTAAAAACACTGACCTGAATTAATTCTGTTCCTAACAAGATTACTGAGAGTTCTACCATTGATTGCAATCAACCTTGAGTTGGGAGATTTCAATTTTAAAAATACAAAATTTTCTAATCCTCTCAGTTGTGAGCCGTAAGTGTTCATACAAGCTGTCTGGCCAAATTTGCAAACAGCCTGAGAAAATAGAACAGAGACATGAACAGCTCCATCAGTACATTTCTTTGGCATATTAAGGTAGTTAAATTCTAACACGTTCCCTCTCAGCACTAACTACATTTTAACAGGTAAACAAAGAAGAGGTAAATTAAGCTTCTGTGAATCAGAATTGCAATAGAAAAGCACCTGCAGGATGGGAACACAGAAAAGGAAGAGGAAAAGCAGCAGAACAAAGAGGGTATGGAAAGATTAAAAGAAGGGAAGGAAGGCAGAGGAAATGACTTAGACATAGAGGTCTCCTATGTAATTTAGACAGTTCATGTCAAAGGGTTTAAAAAAAAAGAAAAGTTAATTTTAGGCCTGGGATCATTACCCATGATTACCAATGGTGGAACTCCACCATTTGCTCAATTTGCCCTAATGTTATTTCCTTCTAAAATTAGCACGTTTCCCCAATGTGTGATGCTGGTGATGACAAGGGCAGACTTTATAAAAGATGTAATAACCAGAAACGCTCTTAGTGCAGAGACGCTATGTTTTGCACATTCACTGTGAGCAAATTTCTCATCAAGGTTTATGGACGTCATTAACCACAGGACTCACCCCTAACAAGTAAGAGTATGAGCAATGTTGTGCCTTGCGTTAGAGAAACTCCATTAAGTTGGATGTCTCAGGAATAAAGACCTTGAGCTTCAGGTAAGTGTCAAAGCAATATTTTGATCCTAATTGGTAACTGTAAATGTTGAATCAGTATGTGGTCAAATAAACACCGGCGTAATGTAAGAATAGCGGGAGGGGGTGAAAAAAAGAGAAAATTAACAAAGCAGCAGCAATTCTGAAGGGTTTGTCAAGACCGGCTGTCAAGAAGCAGCAGGAAGCAAAGCAAAAAACCTGTTGCCGCAATCCAAACAAGAAACAACTCCTGCACAAGCAGAAGTTTTAATAGCAGAGGATGCCAAACAATTGTGAGGTTTTTGAACGATAAGGCGAGAATGAACAAGTGGATAGATTGCAGCAAGAAGCTTCGTATCTGTGCTGCTGTCACACTGAGATCCCACCTCAGGGGTGTCTCATTAACTTTCTAAAGCACGAAGGCAAGATGAAAATTCAGCTCAGACAAGAAGGCAAGGCTTTTAAAAGGGAGCTATTCTACAGCTAATAAATGGAGAAGACCCAAAAGACTTTAAGCACAGCTGGCAGTCCTGTCTGGGCTCTAACCAGAGAGCAGGCCATGACCATGTATGCAGCAGAATTTTTTCAGGAGAGACCCACATGCTTTCAAGGTGTAAGAGCAGTTTGCTGCAAGTGGCTGAGTAACAGAGGGATCAGCACCTATGGGTAACAAGGACTGAGTGGCAACGGGGACATCAAGCAGGTGGTGCAAGCAGAGGGCATGGAAGAGCACCTGCCACTCCAGTGCCAACCCATTCCCCAAAAAACACCAGCTCATCTCATTTAATCCCAGC